ATTGTTATTTCAAATTTTAAATCAAATTTTCTAAACGAACATCTTTCGTTAGAAGTGATGCATCTTCTCCACAAACGATTGGATGCGTGCTGAGCTGGGAGATCTTTTCATACAACTGAAATAAAATGATAAAATTCAAATGAATAATGAATTTTCACTTAAAACTAGACGCAATTTGTCAGTATTAGTTAGCAATGAGATTCAATTGGATTCAACTGGATTCATTGCTGGGGAAAAGCGCAATTCGTTACCTAAAACAGATTGGTTTAAAAGTTGTTTAGGCCAACTGAAAGAGCCATTTAGTATATACCGTATTTCTTCGAATAGAAGACCGGATAAAGAGTATCATCGTGTACTCCTGCGGCATCGGAATAGAGGCATCGCGTACTCCTGCGTAGCAGCCCTTTTTAAAATTTCTTTTCTGCATAAAAGCTTTCAATCAAGGGCTATAGAGCTGGAAAATGGCTCAAAAATCTGTTAGCTCATGTGGTATTTTTGAGCCATTTTCCAGCCCTATAGCACTTCATTGAAAGCTTTTATGCAGAAAAGAAAGGGCTGCCTTTTAAAAAGGGCTGCTACGCAGGAGTACGCGATGATTCTCTTTACCCGGTCTTCTATTCGAAGAAATACGGTATAAAAGAGCCGCATCTGTCTGTTTGACTTTACGGGTAAAAACGATGACTAATAAAGCTAAAACTTTTTTACAAAACCTTAGAATATAATGTAGTTACGCCATTTAAGATAAAAAATTCAAAATTGAAGATCGAACGGCGCCGAGGGGAATCGAACCCCGGTTAGCCTGGGCTGTAGACCACTGCTCTCCTAACTGCGCCATACACCAAACGAATACCACCCCCGTTAGGCGGGTTTTTCACCTAATTGAGGGATAGAAATGAAAAAATCCGTTAGGCGGGTTTTTCATCTAATTGAGGAATAGAAATGAAAAAATCGTACCGAGTTCCTTAACTGAACCGTACAAACGGCGGACTGGGTGCTGAAAACAGGCAATAATGGGGGTGGCAAGGGGAAATCGGGAGAATCCGGTAAGCCGGACGGTCCAGGCAGCTCCTCATCCTCATCATCGTTCATCTCATGCTTAAACGGCGAAGAAGATGGGAGCATTTCATGGGTACGGATGAGAGAAAGGGGTAAAAAGGGTAAAAGGGATGGGTGAGGATGGGCACAGGGAGCTCGAGGTCGATTCACCCCCCGCCTCTCTGCTTTCTCTCTCTCTCTACTCACTTCTACACTTCTTTCTCTCGTCTGGCATCTTTAGCTTTTAATCTCAACGTCTAGTTCTCGATTTTAGTTAAATCTTTGGCCTTTGTTGTCTGCTTGCAAGATCTTGATTCCTAGCTTCTTGTCCTTGTTTCTCTAAGCTTGAGTCTTTAACCCGGCTTCTCGTAATTCTTTGCTTCCTAGCTTTATCCTTAGCCCAAACTTTCTCCAATCTTTAACCCTTCCCTTCCATTCTCAAATCCCAAATCCCTTATCTCTTTTCCGATTCGAACTTTTCGCCTTTGGCAGCAAATTCGCAAACATTTTTCAGAGAAAAAGGAAAAGAAGCACCCGATAACTAGCTTTGGGACAGACGCGTCTTGCCTTCCCTTCCCTCCTTCCCCAAGCCATTCCCGATGGATAAATCCACTCCTTTTCACTCCTCCAGGGGGAACACCCAAAGCTCTTTTTATTTGACAAAGTTGCTTTTTGAAGAGATCTTTTGAGGAGATCTTTTGAGGAGATCTTTTGAGGAGATTGACTGCTACCTAGACTTTTCATTGAAAGTAAACGAGATTCGATTGGCGAGTGAATCGAGTGAAATGAGAGGATTCTGTATAGAGCAAAAGGGTAATTTATGGATACGAAGATGAAAGGGATTTTGTAGTAAAGGAAAAGGAAAGGAAAAGTACGACCTTACCCTAAAAAGATCGTAAACAAAGCAATCTAATAAGTTTTATGCATCTATGGAAGACTTTATGAAGTTCCTATGTTTTATTTATGTAGATAAAGCACTAAAGTTCCTAAAATTTTAAGTAAAGAGAAAGATATTCAGTCTTAATTTATGAAGACCTCTAAAAACACCTTTTTTTAAAGTCTATATTTGAATTCTATAGTAGTAAAATACTTTTGAATCTAGCCAAAGAATAGGGACTTTACAGTATTCGTAAAGATTAGAACTTAGTATGTTTTCTAAAGGTTGGATAATTTAGAAAACTATCGTAAACTTTACTTCAAGCTTCTCTAATACTTAAATTTGATCCCATTCACAGCTTGACTATTCTTGGTGACTATTTACATATTCTTGGTATCATTAGATGCGTCAAAGAGGCTATCGGACTTTTTCTACGCGCCTCGCCCCTTTTTCCATCAGCAATCTAACTTTGAGCTCAAATATCTAAGTGTCAGGCTGTACAATTTAAACATTTTTGGTATTATTAGATGCGCCAAGTCTTTCTCTGTCGATTGGTAGAAAAACTATTTAAATTGAAAAGCCCAACACCAAGAAAATCGAGCTCAAAGTTGGATTGCCAATGACAAAGGGGGCGATATGCTCATTTGATACGCTCCTTTTGCCATTAACAATCTAAAAATCTATCTAAATCTAAATCTAGAATTTAAAGAAAAGAGTACGGTAATCTTCTGAATTGTTCACCTTTTAGAAAACAGGCTTGGCTTTACACAATCTTTAAAGAAATATTATACTATTATAATATTATAAGAAATATTCCTGTTGGTGAAGCTTTCGACTCGATTTTGACTTGTTAAAACAAGTTTTACTTATAGAAAAACCACAAATTTCGATTCAAAAACGATTTTCTGTCATCCACGTTTATTTTAAGTGTAATGGGGATCATGATTCGGGAAGAAAAGAGCGGGGAAAAGCAAAGAAAAGGCAAAAGATCGAGACAAACATCGGGATTTTCTTCAAAAGGGGAACAGCTGACCCCATCTATCGACCCGAGAAATCCCCATTGGGGAACACCTTGAAAGCGGTAAACTACACTTCGAAAAAGATGCTTCTCATTTTTTTTTTCTCTTTCAGTGCATAACTAACAGAAGTGCTAAATTGGGTCAAATTTCACTTCACACTCGCAAATGGAAAAACAAATGCTTTTCCTGCTCAAAATAATCACGGGAAAACGATCGATTGATTTTTTAGTGTTTGGAGAGAAAGAGTGTGATCATCGGAAAGGTTTTGGTGAATTAATTTGTAAAATTGTAAAATTTTAAGCATAAACATCTGAATCGTGAAAAAGTTTATGCAAAAATGTCAAAAGAGAAGAAAGCTTTGGATTTGAACTGAAAAATTGAACTGAGAGAGCTGAAAAATATCCTACTTTACTAGATTTGAACTGTTTTCTATGCAATTTAAAAAAGTTAAGTCTGAGTAGAAAATTCAAGAGTAAAGGCTAATAATTAGTCGATTTGAAAGCTAAAGTCACTTTCGCTTAACTCACTTTCGCTAATTATTAATGCCTACACAATACAAATGTTAGAACTACTCACTAGCCCAATCAACAGCCTCACCAAAACCTTTCCCTAAACAATTCCGGGATTTCGACATACGGGTGAGATAGGGAGAGTTCTCGTGGCTGTCAGTGTCTCCTCCGGGGAGGATTCCCGCCTGTCGGGCGTCGATGACGACAATGTCGTAGCGCTCGTCGGACGAGCTCCTCTCGAGTAGATCGACGGATTTGCGAGCGATTCCTCGAATGAGAGACTGAGATGCGTGTGTTGGATTCGAGGGATTCGATGAGCTGGTCGCTGATCGACTCGAGCACGTCGTCCCCGTGCACGAGCCGTTCCCTCCCAACAGTTGATAGTTGTTATGCTAGAGAATGGGAATTTGTGAAGAACGCAGCAAAGCAAGTTTCTTGCCAGAAAATCCAGTTTCTTGTGATTTCAAACTTTCGAAACTTTGTGTCAACGGTATCTAGACACATAGCTAGATTGATTAGAAATATCAACTAGGCTAACTTGAGGTTTCAGTCAACTATAGCCAAGCTTAACATAGCCAAGGCTTAACATAGCCAGCTATAGCCAAGTCTAGCTTAAAGATCTTACAAGAAAAGGTCAACTGAAAATGCAAATCACATGAGCCATAGATCATTCGACGCAGAATTTCACGCTGAGCTTTGCGTCCTAACTCACTGCCACTCGGCCATCGTTGCAATCGATCAACTCACGAAAGACAGACTTGTAATTTCGCGTTTTGATTTTTAAAACTCTTTGCAAAACTTTAAACGCACATAACTTTTGACAGAGTGTTCCGTAGTAAAAAAGAAAAGCAGCATCATGATCAATGTGAAATGCTGCATCGAATGGCTATTGTGATTTGGCCAGAACATCGAGTTGACCTTCCTTTGTGTTTTTTGGAACAGTTCTGATTATTACTCTACCTATAGAAAGCTAAATTTAAGAAACTGTCTTTTCAAAACAACTCCAACAATTTGCCCAACCTGTCCAGAGAGATACGATTCTGACGGCGCAGACGGAGTGACCGAGTGCTTTTCGGGTGGCTCGGCGGAGGAGACGTCTTGAGGAGTATGTGATTCGACGTCGAGATGAGTTTCCGAGGGACAACCTTCGGAGGGTAATGGATGATTGAGACGCGGAGAGTCGTGACAACAAAAACCACGATCCGAGAGAATCCCCACGCAAATCACGCAAACGGTGAACACCAGAAAGGAGCCTAAGTCTATACATCATCCTCTGTTTTCTAAAATGCACCACAACCGCTGTGCCCATCGATATTTTGTGTTTACTTTTTTTTGGAGATGCGCTTTATTATTTATTATGTTATTGCTTTTTTATTTTATTGCTTTTTATTTTATTGCTTTTTATTTTATTATTTTTTATTTCTAACTAATTCTCTTTTTTTTAGGTAAAGCCGACTTGGTCTTCGGCGATAAGATGGCTCGACGAGTGAAGAAAGCAAGAAAAGAAAGCGATCAGCAAAGAGGAGTGGTTCTCGCCACATCGAGACAAGCTTCATCTTCATGAAAAGCTTCATCTTCATTAAAAGCTTCATCGAGGCCTTCACAAAGGTTGGTTTTGTTTGTTTTTAATATAATATTAAGAATAGTTTTAATAATTTGACGTTAGGTAGCAATAAATTAGACAGTTTTTGTAGAGGTTTTCGTAAAAAGCACCAAAAAGGATACTTTTTAAGATTTAGTTATTGAACTGCATGCTCCTAGTCTTTTTAAGATTAAAGTTATATCTGTATCAATGATCTTAGCCCGTCACCACTTCATCACGCGACTCTTCATCCTCTCCAGTGAGTTCTTCTGTTGTTGTTCTTCAATTATGTTATTTCTTTTAGCATTTGAATCATTTCCTATATGGTCTATTGCCCACCGCTTCAAGGGACACCATAAAAGTTAGTTCTTTTAACTAGATAATTAATGATTCACTTAATTTTATAGAACATCGATGATCTCATTTCCGCTCTGGAGGATGAGTATATCCGAAACGGCCAGGGACGGCGGCTGGATACATCAAATGCAAATCAAAGCTCTGAGGTAATTATCTTTTTTTTTGGCTTTTTTACGATTGATTACCTTACTTTAGTCTCCGCACGGGACGGGAGCGGCAAAAACGCCGCCAACGGAGTGATCATCTTTGCCTCATCACTTTCAAAAGCATAGGTGAAGCTTCTTGAGACGGCACTTCTGGATTTCTTCGTTGTGTTTCTCGCTGAGCTCCCGTCTGCCAACAGTGAAGTAAGTGTTCTTGTTTCTTGAGATTCTAGTAGTCATTTGTTTATATGCCACCGATTCAACCCTACAATGTTCCCGATTGGGCAGAATCGAGTCTAAGTGGCCGGTCAGTTGCTTGAGGACACGTTCACTTCTTTGATGAAAGGTATCTTTGTATTTATATTGATTATTTTATATTAAACCGTAATTGTTTGTTGTTTAGGTGGTGTTAAATGGAACGGCAACTACACGTCGCTTCTCCCTGATGTGGCGGCTCAAATTTGTGCAGAGTCGGGTGCCAAGCACAAAACGACTGCTGGCAGAGTGATCGAGCGAAAAGCAGAAGCCAAATACAAGAAAACCGATAAATACACTACAAAGACTGCCGCCTACAAGCCGATCAGACGCCAAATCGACTCTCTTCGATGCTCAATCTCAGCCCACAAGGATCAGAAGAAATATTGTTTGGTATGTAAGCATGTTTATTGTTGTCACGGACACACAACTACAAATTAAACTGTGCCAGTTTAACTTGTAATTGTGTATCATTTTGCTTTGTTCTTTTCTTTTTGCATTTAACAATTTTGTTGTATTAGTTCTTGCTTGTGATTTTGATTAATGAATTTTATGTCTGTTTCTTTTGAATAAACCTACTAACTAAATATATAAAATATAAGAATAAACAAGGATCACCGATGAGGATGGCGAGTAACAGATTCTGGTACAGGGTTGAGTCCATCCACTTGGCAGAAGCTGGATATAGGATTTAGAGGAATTCGTGGTCCTCTAGATGAGATTTTTGAATAGTTTAGTAGTCCTTGCAAGATTTTGGAATAGTTGAATCTTGCGGCTTTAAAATTTTAGCGATAATAGACACTTTCAGAATAGAAACACTTCAGGAATTGTTTTTTTTTTCAGAAAAAACTTCAGAAATTTAATAGAACCTGAAGAATTCAGTGAATAGTTGAAGTTGAAGACTTTTCTCAATGTTCAAATATCAAAGAATAACTCAAAACGGTCGGTCTTTCAAATCTGAACGATTTGGAAAAGACTGAAAGAACTGAAACCAGACTCGATCCAGCAAGCCAACTAGCTTCGATCCAAATGCAAGAATAGATGCAAGAATAGATGCAGGAATACTAGCACTTTCTAATCAAATGAATGCAAGAAATGTTAGTTGATACAAGCACATCAATAATCTCTTGCTAAAAGGGAGAAATTTCCTCTGGTTGCCTCTCACCTGGCGTCCAATGGAGAACGTGGTGAGTGTCGGGGAGAGCATCAACGGAGATCGATCACCGCCGTGACTCTTCCCCTTTTCAGTCGAAAATCTCTTGCGGTTTAGTTGATCTCGCAAAGACAAGACTCGGAAGAAATTTCACGATTAGAATTCCCACGAGAGTTGCGTCGAGGTGTTGAGTGACAGCCGAATTTTTTTAGAAATCGAGTCCTTTGAAAGCGGCTTGGAAACCAGAGATTAGTGTTGGACTAGTGGAATGGCGAAAATGGCATCAGTTGAAACAGAAAAAACAAAGCTTTTCTCGAAAGAAAACAAAGCTTGAAAGAAAACAAAGCTCAGAAATGTTTTCTGAAAGAAGGAGCGTATACTTTTATGGGAGAAAATTGGGTTTTCCGAATGGAAAAAGAGAAGGGCTTTGGGGCTGAAACAGTTGCCTGGACTGGGAGAAGATGGGGAAGAACCCCTTGAGGGGAAAGGAAAGGGCCAAGAAAAGGGTGAAGAAAAATGAACAAAGCCACACGCAGATACACATGCACACAGTTGCTCGATAGAGTTAGGAAAATGGAGGGGAAGGGGAATAGACTGGGCTCTTTCCCTTCTATTTCTCATCCCATCTCATCTCATCTCATCCCCACAAGCTCATTCTCCCCTCAAACACTCGTTTGAGATCAATTAGATGGAGAATCAATTGAGGAACCGTTTTTAAAAGTCTTCTTCTTTCGTTGGAAAAACGTCATAGATTTTGGACTTTGTCGTCTAGATAGAAAAGGATTTCAATGGAAATTGAAAATTCTAGCTGAAATCAATGAAATTCTAGCTGAAATCCTTTTCTATCTATTTAAGCAAACAATGCAATCTGATAAGTACTGTACTAAAGTAGCCAAGTACAGGAATAACCTAATAAAGTAAAAAAATTAATGGCAAAGAGTTTAGAAGCTAGGGGGAATCGAAGTCTCGATCTTGTGCTTAACCGGTAGATGTTCTACCACTGAGCTATTGGCACCTGTTTTTCCCAAGAAGAAATAGGAAAGACAAGAAGAAAGAAAGGAAGAAAGAGAGGGAAGTTTGGATCAGCCATGTTTGGATAAGCCATGTTTGGATAAGCCATGTTTGGATTAGAGTACCCATTTGAATTGGATTGGAATTGGGAGTTGAGAGGGATTTTCAAGTTCACTTGGAAGAAGTGTCATTTTGTTTACTACAGAAAAACAAGATTAGCAAGATTCTAGCTAGAGTTATTTCAAATTTGCATTTAAGAAAAGGATAAATCAATTTATTAACTACAGACAGATTCTGTTTTGAAAAGTTACTGGAAAGTTAAAAGTTACTGAAAAATTAAAAACTACTGAAAAGTTAAAAACTACTTTTCAAAACAGATTCTATTTTGAAAGGCTCTAGAGTTACTGAAGCTCTAGAATACCAGCACCTTTTAGGCAATCTTTAAAGCTTTGAGGATTGACACCGTTTGTGGGACAATTTTGAACTCGGTACTTGATAAATGAATGCTTAGAAATTCATTTAGTTTTTGATTATTCATGAAAATAGAATTCACAAACCAGTAGTAGCCTCTTGAAAGAGCTATCTTCCATGAGATGTCCTTGAGCAAGTTGTGGAAGCACCGGCGCGTCTGTCAAGACGGCGATTCGATCGAGAGACTCCAGAATCTAAAATATTGATTGATTATTTAGGAAGATACATAGACAAATCCTTAAAAATTCCAATCAAAACATTAGCGGTTTTTTTTGAAGCTAAACCAACTAAACCAGCTAAACCAAGTAAACCAAGTAAACCAACTAAACCAACTAAACCAACTAAACCAGCTAAACCAACTAAACCAGCTAAACCAACTAAACCAACTAAACCAGCTAAACCAAATATAGCTTCTTGCATCTCTTTTAAAAGAAACCAACCGCTGGATGAAAAGGCAGTACTTTCCCAAACATTTTTTGATATCAAGAATAGATAAAAAGTCGAAATAAAGAGTCAAAATAAAGAGTCAAAATAAAGAGTCACAATAAAGAGTCAAAATAGAGAATTTTACGTTAGAAAAACGCAAATATAAGCTAGGCAAGGGAAATCAATTTTGAACATCTAAGGGTCGCCTTAAAGATGGAGTGAAACTTGATCCATCACGCTTAAAGAAAAGAATAAGAGAACTTTGCCCTCCTCGTTTTCTTTCAAATTCAACCCGTCAATTATGTGGGTGCTTGTTTTTGGCAAGTGAGGGATGAAAGGTGAGAATTAGGTAAGTGAACAAAATTAGCCTATTAGCAAATTAACAAAATTAGCTGCAACTATTCGTATTCTCAATTCTTATCTCAAAAACAATGAGTTCGTCTAATTTAAACAGAGAACAAAACAGAGAACAAAACAGAAGAACAGCAAATCTTCTTGATTCAAAGTAACAAAATGGTTCTAGTACAATACCCACAAGGGGACCATATACTTCTCAATTTACGCAAGAAGAATGGGTGCAATAAAGTAGCGATTATGCAAATTTTGGGTCAAATTTGTTCTTTAACAGAAAAGAGTGGAGAATTTGGAGCCTAGTTGAGAGAATTTTCAAAAATTTGGCTTAATTCCAGTACTATTTATTGGACCCGATCAATTGCCCGACGTGTCGCCGACAATTTTCGACGAACACTGCGAAAAATGCGCCAACAAACTATGATTTATGCAGTGAGTGATTTGAGATAAGCCATATAAACAGATAAGCCTGAGATGATCTTTAAAATCATACTATTTTAAACTTTTATATACCTTTGACGAGGGCAATTCTTTCATCTTTTAAGATCAAATATCAGCTTTTCAGAAGGGTTTTGAGTGTCTCGGCTTGCCATTTGGCCTGGTTTGACAAGCAGTAGAATTTTTAGCAAAAATATAGCCAAATTTAAGGGAAAAATTGATCCTAAACATTTGGGTATAGTGATGCCTAAGAAAGGCTGAACTGGTTAAGTTGCTCAACGGGAGCGGTCTCATCTTAGACCCGAATTAGGACAGATTCTCACTAAAACTAAGAATTTGAGCATAATAAGGCAGGGATTTAAATTAAATGATTTCAACGCACGCATTACTAATTCCAAAAGGTAATCGATTCTAAACATTTGGGTATAGTCCTGCCTAAGAAAAGGCTGAACTGGTTAAGTCGCTCACCGCTCCTCCACCTTAGGTCTGAATTAGGAGCGATTCTGACTAAAACCAAGAATTTGAGCATAATAAGACCGGGATTTAGATCAAAACGATTTTGACGCATCGATTCCAAAAACGAAGCAAGTTCTACCGGGGCGATTTGCCAGATCGAGAGCGATTACGCGGCCGCACAAAGAACATTTCGGCAGGAATTTACAAGGATTTCTCTGTTGATGATACAAAAAGAAGATATTGAGCTTAGATTTATGGTTTTAAGGGTCGCGAATCGATTGGTACTATTCATTTTATTGAGTCTACCAGTTAGAACTCGGATTTGTTTGATCTAAACTTTTCAAGAGCCTATTAACCTATCTTGGATCTTAGATCTCCAAGATCTAGGATCCAAGATAGTACAAGATATTAGTGTGCCTAAACCTTGGCGAAGTTTGGTTTTAGGCTTTACCTTTGGTAATGGCACCAAATTGTGCCTAAAATTCTCGTATCGGCTGCTGTGGTGAGCGCATTGGCCCATCAGAGTTTGAGGGAATCAACTGGAGCGTTTCAGCGAAAAGTTTCAGCGAAAATTGCCCATAGCTGAGCCGAGCAGGAAACAAAGATGAACACGAGAAATTCGAGAAATCGAGAATCTCTGGGCCGAGAATATTTGGCGGGTGCAAGCAAAGGGGGAATGGTCAGTGAATGGGAGGATTTCTCGAGATTACGTGTAAACATCTCAACACAGGCCAGGTTCTCACACTGGGACACAATCTTTTCTCTCTCACTGACAATCTCCTGATTCATTCACACTACGAGAAATGTGTCTAGTCGGTTATTTGAGGGAGGAAGTGATAAAGATAAGTAAAACTGGTGGGTAATGCTTGTTCTAGAGGGTGGGCCAAAATCACCGTTACGATGCTCGCGCGCAAATGCGCAGATCTTCAAACTTGTGCTGTTTTTCGGATTTCCGAGATTTTATCTCATGCAATGAGTGGCCGCCAAGTAGTCCGGATCTTAATCCGATGGATTTTTCTGTCTCCTTGAAGCCAAAGCATGTTCAAAACCCCACAAAACTGTTGATAGTTTGAAAAAAGCGCTCGAAAAGGCTTGGGAAGAGCTGGATACCTTCTCGCCACGGTCGAGGCTTTTGGACGCCTGTGTAAAAGCTAATGTAAAGGCTTGGGAAGAGCTGGATCTCCTATACCTCCTCGCCACAGTCGAGGCTTTTCCAAGACTTTTGGACGCCTGTGTAAACGCTAATGTAAAGGCTTGGGAAGAGCTGAATCTCCTATACCTCTTCGCCACGGTCGAGGCTTTTCCAAGACTTTTGGACGCTTGTGTAAAAGCTAATGAAGATTTGTTTGAATAGAAATAGTTTTTATGAATTTTGTTGTTCAGTTTTTGATTGTTCTGAGACAATAAAGGTTATTTTTTAAGAAAAATCTTTGACATTTTGATTTGCTTTTTATACAGACTTTTTTTTATATGTAACGGTAATTTTGGCTCACCCGGTACTTTAAAAACATCTTAATACTCACAAAGTATTAAGATGTTTTTTGATTTCTTAAAATTCATCTTAGTGTTCCTCTTAATACATTTTATACATGTCAAAAAAGGGAAAAACTTTGGCGGCAAGCGGAATTGAACCAGCGAGAGAAAATGGCGTTAGTTTCGGAGTCTAGCACACTATCCCGCTGCTTCTGTTGCTTTCGGGCGTGGCGCCCTATAGGTGAGGTCGCAGTTTGCCAAAAAAATGCCAAAACTTCGAACACATTTTACTTGAAAACCAGGGCCCATGGGGAGAAAATTAAAAATACTTGTCTCTTAGAATTCTACGGGCTTTCTTAAAATTAGAATTTTGTAGCTAGGTTCGGTTTCGAAAATCGTTAAAATAGGAACCGTATTGGAACTGTATTGGAACTGTATTAGATCAAAATAATGGAACCGTATTGGAACCGTATTGGAACTGTATTGGCACCCCGTAGAAGTTTGATGTAAAAGTATTGAAAAGGCACGAGAGCTTTTATTCTAGCTCATTCTAGTAGCTAGAATAAAAGGTATTTAGCTGAATAGCTGAATCCTTACAATTTCTAATTGCAATAAAAACTTTCAAGCTTAAATATTCTTATGTTCAGTATATTTTAGTCGTAACGTATCTTTAACTTTAAATCTTGAATCTTTCGAATCTTTAACTCCAAAACATGCTTTCAAGGGGTTCTTTGGATAATATTATGATATAAGTCAAGGCATTTGACTGGTACAATCTGGAGGTAAAGATAAGTACAACTGCTAGATATTTTAGATAATTCTAGAATTCTAGAATTCTAGAAGGTGCTAGAAGATGCTAGAAGATTCTAGAAGATAGTTCTAGAAGATGCTGAAGATGCTAGAAGATGCTAGAAAAGATTTCTAAAGCTTGTTTGAAAGCTATTAATTTCTAGTAAGCAAAGTTTCTGATTGTGAATAGTTTCTGGCGTAGTTTCTGGCGTAGTTTCTGGCGTTCGGCACTAGTTTACCAAACTCATTCACTACTTTTCAAATCCCGGACACTAAAAAGTTGTCTGTTGATTTTGTGTGGATTGATGAGTGATCATCGACTTGAAACAGAAAGGGCCAAAGGGCCAAAAGACCAAAAGACCTCCAGGTGTCACAATGTCCCCGAAAACCCATTCATTAATCACCCAACCACTGTCAATCCCACTTCCTATCATCCAACTTTAAGTTTTATTTGAGAAAAAGAATTTCCTAAAACTCAGGACACAGGAATAGATCAATGTTTAATCGTTAAGTAGTTTAATCGTTAAGAAATCAGCAAATCCTGTTTGCTTAAAGGTTGCTGATAAAGAAGAACGCTCAAAGCTTTGCAAAAGCTAGGTAAAAGTTCTAGAGTGACACAGAACAAAGCCCAATAAAGTGCGCTGGAAATTCTTTAGAGTGTGCTCTTTTTCTGGGGAGAATCCCAGGGAGAAGTGGGGTGGGAAAGGGGATGGAAAGAAGGAGAAGATGAGGATGGCATGGTTTAAATCCCCCAGGGATAGTCCAATGGAAATCCCTCAAAATTTCTTCCCATATACACAAGTGGGCCATTGATTTTGATGTAAGAATTGGGGAGATGAGGTGAGAATGATAGAAATGATAGAAAGAATGATAGAAATGATAGGAAGAATGGAGAGAAATGATAGAAAGAATGGGAGAAATGATAGAAATGATAGAAAGAATGATAGAAATGATAGAAGGGAATGATAGAAATAATAGAAAGAATGACAGAAATGATAGAAATGATAGAAATGATAGAAAGAATAGAAATGATAGAACGAATCATAGAAATGATAGAACGAATGATAGAAAATGAGAAAAAGTTCAGGTTTTCTTTAGATTTTGGCCTCATAGTCAGCTCAATTCTTATTTTGTCCGATCAAGTTCCGTTTTTATTTCTAATTAGAGGGTTGTTCTCTATTAGAGGGTATTAGAGGGTGGTTCTCAGCCCGCTACGCAAAACCAAAGCCAGTTTTTGAGGCTTAAATATCTAGTAGCATCTTAAATATCTTAATCTAGTTAAATAGCATAACAAATGCAATCTAATGCTGAATCTAATGCTCTTTCTCTCTTTTCCCGTTTGAGAAAGAGAAATGAGAAAGATAAACATGAGAAATGAGAAATTGTTACCGTAAAGACTGTCATAGTACCCCCACCCCCATAATGACGGTGCGGAGTGTTGTGTAGCTCTAGCTTTGAACGAGTTTTTCTCGACACTGGTTTATGCTACAATACGCGCGTAGGTAGCAAAAAAATAGCTGAAATTCAGGGCTATTTTTTGATATCTAAGCACGCATTGTAGCATAAACCAGGTCGAGAAAACTCGTTCAAAGCTAGACTACGTTTTCGCTGAATTTGAGTGCACCAGAAAAGACACAAGAGACAAAAAGAAGTTACAAGAATGGAATTGAGTAGCTCTAGCTTTGAACGAGTTTTTCTCGACACTGGTTTATGCTACATAGCGCGCTTAGGTATCAAAAAATAGCTGAGATTCAGGGCTATTTTTTGATACCAAAGACAGGCGCTTTGAAAGTACGGGCGCTTTGAAAAAATGAAATACTAAAAATACTAAAAAACTTTTGCGACTACGCGACTGTACGAGGGCGGTGGGGTACTATTACACAAAACAAAGAGATTATTCGGTAAATTTATTCACTCACTTTATGAGCTCCAATCAAATCGGTGGCGGTTGGTTGTGTGGCTCTTGTGCAACCATCTGGATGGCATGTATCACCGCCGGGAAGATCACCTAGAAAGGATATTCACTTGGTTTAAATTATATTATCTTTGTTTAAATGGTTTAAATGATTTAAATGATTTAAATGGTTTAAATGATTTAAATGATTTAAATTATATTTAAATTAAAATACATTTAATATTATGTAAAATAAGCGCTCTAAAAATGAAGTTATGAATGAAGTTCAGTCTTGTTCGTTGAACTTAAAACGAGCAAAGCCAAATGAGCAATGAGCAAAGCAAAGCCAATTTATTGAGAAGGACGAGTGCTTGTTTGGCTTTAAAGCTCAGATTGAAATAAACACAACCTCTTGTCACAGGTTATCGAAAAGCCCGGCCCCTTTTGCAAGCTAACTTTGAACTCAAATCTCTTGGTGTTGGGCTGTCCAATTTAGATATTCTTGATATCATTTGATGCCCCACGTCTTTCTCTTTCGATTGGTACAAAAACTATTTAAATTGAACAACCCAACACCAAGAAATTTGAGTTCAAACCGACGGACCTTTTATACGCGCTCCGCTCCTTTTGCCATGGGCAATCTAACTTTGAGCTCAAATTTCTTGGTACTGGGTTATCCAATTCAAATAGTTTTTGTACCAATCGACAGAGAGAGACTTGGCGTATCCATATGATACCAAGAATATTTAAATTGGACAGCCCAACACCAAGAAATTTGAGTTCAAAGTTGGATTGCTGATGGAAAAAGGGGCGAGGCGCGTATCAAATGTCCCACAATCAAAAGCCTATCACTGCAAGATTTCTATTGGCTAAGAGAAAACGAGGAAAGCGAGACGCACAAGTAAATGCTTAGGTATGCAAAGTGCATTTCGGGGGGGGGCCTTTTCTGAAAAAACCCTTTAAAGAGTAACGAGTGAAAAGGAGAAGACTGAAAGAATCGGTCTGAAAGAGTGAGAAAAGAGGGGCAGCTCTAAGTGTGGGATCAATGCTGCACACAAACACCCAAAAAGTGGAGAAATGGATTGAAGAGAAAGAAGGAGGGGCATTACTCGAAGGAAATATAACAAGTATTGTCTATATACAAGAGATAGTCATCAAATCAAGTCATCAAATCTTAGTCTTAGATCTTAGAAAATGTCAAATTTCCAACTGTTAGACATATTTCTAAAGATTTACCTTGAAAAAAGGTCGAACTTGACGCTGAAATCGTTCCATCACGACCAGAGATAATCGGGAACTTGCTCCATTTGTCGGTGTTCACCGCCGAAAGGATTGTACTCTAGAAAATGAAATCTTTTGCGTTCAACACCAATCTTTTACCTTTAGTTTTCTTCTCGAGTTGTATCGCTTGATGTTATCAACGGTTTCCTGGAGGTGCCGTCTTGGGGCGTAAACATCCTGAAGTTGATTTACACATTAAGCTTTAGACAGAATGAAAGTAGACTTGCTTAACGGTATCTTAACGGTTCTCTTAACGGTCGTTAACAGTTCTTAACGCTCGTTAACAGTTCTTAACGCTCGTTAACCGTTCTTAACGGTCGTTAACCGTTCTTAACGCTCGTTAACAGTTCTTAACAATCGTTAACAGTTCTTAACGGTCGTTAACAGTTCTTAACGGTCGTTAACAGTTCTTAACACTCGTTAACAGTTCTTAACAGTCGTTAACAGTTCTTAACGCTCGTTAACCGTTCTTAACGCTCGTTAACCGTTCTTAACGCTCGTTAACCGTTCTTAACGGTCGTTAACCGTTCTTAACGGTCGTTAACAGTTCTTAACGGTCGTTAACAGTTCTTAACAGTCGTTAACAGTTCTTAACAGTCGTTAACAGTTCTTAACAGTCGTTAACAGTTCTTAACGGTCGTTAACCGTTCTTAACGCTCCTAAACTCAAACTTGGCATAAGTATGCTAAAATGCAATATTTTTAAAAAAACTAATTACTTTGCTAGCATCTTCAGATTTAATGCAAAAGCCTGTAAAGAACGAAACACCTTGGCCGTGATCAGAATCGAACCCTCGTTGTGTGGGTACCGGTAAGAGCCGTTAAGAACCGTTAAAAAAAAAAAAAAAATAAAAAAATAGAATCGTTAAGAAGCGTTAAGAATCGTTAAGAACTGTTAAGAGCCGTTAAGAACCGTTCAGAACCGTTAAGAGCCGTTAAGAACCGTTAAGAACCGTTAAGAATCGTTAAGAAACGTTATGAACCGTTAAGGACCATTAAGAACTGTTAAGAACTGTTAAGAGCCGTTCAGAACCGTTGAGAGCCGTAAAGGACCGTTAAGAACTGTTAAGAACCGTTAAGAAACGTTAAGAAATGTTAAGCAAGTGAAAGCAAGTAAAAGCATGTAAATGAAAGTGCTTAAAGCGCTTAAAGCGCATGGAGCTTCATAGTTGCACAATCATTGAACAATTCCTTTTTTCAATCTTTACCTTATCCCGCAACCAATCATGTTGTAAGGCTTCTGTAGCCGAGAATCGTTGCTCTTCATCAACCGTCAACAAACGAATGAGTAGATCTTTAGCCGAATTCGAGATGAAACTCCAGATACCGCCACTCACCTAAATTTTCAAAAGAATTTGCCTGCCTCAAGAGCCTTAATTCAAAAGTCTGTCTGCAATGATCTGTTCATCATTGAAATATGTATGAAATGATTTGAAATCTGATTTGATTGATTTGAAATCTTCAGTGGATTTGTCCAGTTCATCAAGTCATCAAGTCCATCCAATTTTACTCACACTATATTGTCCCTTCTCGATCGACTCATAGATTTGCGCATTACTGCCCGAGAATGGTAGTCGACCGGAGAGCAAGAGATACAAAAGTACTCCCGCACTCCACACATCGGCTTTTGTTCCGTATTCACGCTTGCCGACGATCTCAGGAGCCATGAAATGAGGAACACCAACGAGGCCTGAAACTTCTCAATATTCTTGCTCTTCATCGAGTTCTTGTTGTTGTTGTTAAATTGGTGTGCTGTTGAAATCAGATAAAATTTTCAAAGCCTGCTAAAATACAGGGTCCAACTTTGCAACTTGATTTTCCTGTAACTGTAACTTTATTTTACCTCAACTTACAGTTTTCACAAATTCTTTTTTTTATATCCCTTTCTCTCACCTCCCGCTAATCGCCCATTTCCTTCTGATAACTTTAGTGCAACGCCAAAGCCTGTGACTTTCAATGGAGCACTATTGTCTTTGCTGAAATTGAAAACTTATTAACTTTTGTTCTAACAGTAAATATTAGCCTTTTAAATCGAATTTTAATGCGTTTGCTTATGCTTTTTGCTATGCTTTTTGCTATGCTTTTTACTAGACTTCGGAAAACAAAACTTAACCAAAACCAAAACCAAAACAGACCAAAACCAAAACCAAAACAAAACCAAAACCAAAACAGGACCAGAAACCAAAACCAGGGAAACCAAAAACCAAAACTAACCAAAACTAACCAAAACCAACCAAAACTACAACCAAAACAAACCAAAACAAACCAAAACAAACCAGAAACAAGACCAAAACAAACCAAAACTGACCAAAACAGGCCAAAACAAACCAAAACAAGACCAAGGAACAAACCAAAACCAAAACCAAAACAAACCAAAACAAACCAAAACAAACCAAAACAAACCAAAACTAACCAAAACTAACCAAAACTAACCAAAACCAAAATAGACCAAAACAAACCAAAACCAAAACTAACCAAAACTCGCCAATATCTTGCGACTGGGAGGAGCTAGCGAAAATCTGTTTGCAGATTTGAAATCAGCATCCAAAAATCTATCCCAGAGGCTATTTTTGTTTCGAAATTTCGAGGTCGTGTTTTGGTCCTTTTTTCGGCCGCGAGATTTTGGGGAGTGAGAAAAAGTGAAAGGCAAATTTGCATTTTACATCAAAATTTGCTCTTCCAGATTAAAATTTACATAACAATTTGAAATTTACATGTTAATCTATCTGCAAATTGAGTTTTGGTTTGTTTTGGTTTTGGTTTTGGTTTTGGTTTTGGTCTTGGTCTGTTTTGGTTTTGGTTTTGGTCTGTTTTGGTTTTGGTTTTGTTTGCCGAACTTTACTTTTTACTATGCTTTTTGCTATGCTTATGCTTTTTATGCTTACCTAGCCAAGACCAAGTTATGCGGTCGAATATCTCGATGAACGATGAAATTTGAATGCAGATATTCAAGAGCTTGAAGTAATTGCTTCATGTAATGACTGAAAGATTGAATGAAAGATTGGATCAAAGCTTTTTTTGAGTTATGTGATTTACCTAATAACTGCTTCTGAATAGACAAAACCATTCATTGTTCTTTTCACGATTTCAAAGCAGAGATCTGCTCCGTCGAGGTGCTCGAAAACGAGATGGGCAAGGGTGTCGCCTGAAAGGGAATGAATGAAAGGAATGAATTTTGAAGAAAATTAATTCAATCCAGAATCCACTTCATTGTATTAGTGAATCTGTGGATTTATGAGCGTTTTTTTCATAAATTATCCATCTTGTCTAACCTGAAATCACATCCTTCAGCTCGCAAATAAAAGGATGTTTCAAGGTGGCACACATCGAGATCTCCTCTTCCACAACTGAAATATTAAATTTACCAGCGAAAAACGCGAACGTTAGTGAACGTTTTTCACTGAGAAGGTCCACATTTTTCACGCAATCTAAGCCCTGCCCCTTTTTGTCAATGGCTGCGGACAGACGGACAGATGGACAGACGGACAGATGGTCAGACGGACAGATGGTCAGACGGACAGACAGACAGACAGACAGACGGACAGATAGACAGACGGACAGAGAGACAGACAGACAGACAGACAGACAGACAGACAGACAGATGGACAGAGAGATGGACAGACAGACGGATGGACAGACAGACGGGCAGACGAACAGACGGATAGACGAACAGACGGATAGACGGACAGACGGACAGACGGACAGACGGACAGGCAGACAGATGGTCAGACAGACGGACAGACGGAATAGACGATAGCGGACAGACGGAACCAAGACGGACAGACGGACAGACGACAGACAGACAGACAGACGGACAGACAGACAGACGGATAGACGGATATCGCAACGAAAGGAGATATTTTTGAAAAGAACTAACTTTTCTTGTTTTTTGGATATAAAGAATCAATTTTTTACCTAGGACTATTGTTAACAAGTGGTTAAGAAATCAGAAATATATTGGTTTTCTTTGCGCGTCATCCTGTAGTAGTGATTGATGCATTAGAATGTTTAAACGTTTGGAGAATTGTACGATCTCTTAACTATTTAGCTTTGGAAACAGTGACAAACCCTGTCGATCCAATCCAGTGCTTTGCTCATACTTTTGCAAGTCGACCGTCTTAATGGCGTACGATTTTTGAGAAGTCCGGTGAATGGCATGGTTAATGACGGAAAGTGGGCCACTGAAATCGTAAATAACAATTGTACAATAGCAATTGTACAGTTACAGGGAGGATTGAAACATCCCTAGTGGATGTTCCAATCCTCCCTGTAAGCCTAAGCTCATCCATCTTAGCCCAATCTAGCTTATAGTTAACCAAAACAGACGCAGAATTACACTATTACTTATGGCTTCAAACCTTAAAACCAACCGTTCTATAACATGTCCTAGATGGTATTGCTGTGCGAGTAGAGCCGTTTCTTGGGGTCTCGGCGGTTGATGCAACGATGCGGCAATTGATGAAGAGTGGGGGAGGGAGAGGCTCATTCCTCTCTTCACTTCTCTTCATACCCCTCCGACTCCCCCACAAATGATCGAATTTGATTTGAAATTTGGGAATATAGTGGAGAAATTATGGTAGAGATGTCTTCGAGCTATTGCAGCGCTACACGATAAGCAGGCTCCCGGGGAAAGCCTCACTTGAGCTGAAACTTTGGTGTTAAAGACGAGCGAATGGAAACGATAGAGGAGAGTTTGGAGAAGAGAGAGCTTGGAGAAGAGCTTGGAGAAGAGCTTGGAGAAGAGCTTGGAGAAGAGCTTGGAGAAGAGCTTGGAGAAGAGCTTGGAGAAGAGCTTGGAGAAGAGTTTAGAGTTGAATGCTTTCAGAATGACAATAAGATTTAAGAAAATCGTTTAACAAATTGTTAACAAACAAATCTCAAATTGTTAAAGCAAAAAAAATGTTTCTAAACTTTGAAAGATAATGTTAACTTGAGCTGTTAACTTGTTAACTTATTTGAAGCTTTGTTTACAATGTCACAATGTCTGCTTTGCGCTGGAAACAGCCCCTTTTCTGGCTTATAGGCTTGGGGCTCAGGCTCAGGCTTAGGCTTAGGCTTAGGCTTAGGCTTAGGCTCAGGCTTAGGCTTAGGCTAGGCTTAGGCCTGGAAAAAGCCCCTTTTCTGGCGCACTTAAAACTTCATTTCTCAACATAAAAACCTGCAATTCAGTGTGCCAGAAAGGTTTTTTAGAGGCCTTAAAGCACAAAGTACACCCCAAATCCTTGCTAGCTAAAAAAACTCGATCAACTTTTAGGCGTTTATGTGATTTTTGCAATTATTCAATCAAGTGCGAGCAGCTGACTGAAAAAGGGAAAAAAGGTTCACAAGAAATCGCTACATGATGTAAAAAGTGAATGGAAACAAGCGGAAAGCTTCAACACAACAACTGTCCTTTCACGAAACGGTCATTTATCTGAGTTCATGTTCGTTTGCTTGAGCCAATGCCCCGGGATTCTTTTCCGGAATTTCTGTAGAGACAATCTCTGTTTCCGGGGAGTGTTTAAGTCGTAAATTTGAGTGGAAATTGATTTCTAAAGACGAAGATTGGTCTAGGCGGGGAAGATGAAAAGATTTGATAAGGTTTTTCGGAAGGATTTCAGTGATGTGCACAAATTTACTTGCACAAGGACAAGAAAAAGTTGAGCTATGTGAAAAGAAAACAGGAAAAGCAAGACATAGGCTTGGTATTTACCATCAAAATTTTCTATTGGCTCGTAGATAAGGCGGCCCTCATATATAGGGTGGTCCGCGTATATAAGGCCGTCTGCGTATATAAGGCCGTCCGTGTATATAAGACCGTCCGCGTTTATAACGCGGCCCTCATACATAAGGCCGTCCGCGTATATAAGGCCGTCCGCGTATCTAAGGCCGTCCGTGTATATAACGCGGCGCTCGTGTATATGGCCGTCCGTGTATATAAGGCCGACCGCGTATATAAGACCGTCCGCGTATATAACGCGGCCCTCATAGATAAGGCGGTCGTATATAAGACCGTCCGCATATATACGGCCGTCCGCATATATACGGCGGTCCGCGTATATAAGGCGGCCCTCATACATAAGGCCGTCCGCGTATATAAGGCCGACCGCGTATATAAGGCCGACCGCGTATATAAGGCCGTCCGCGTATATAAGGCGGCGTATCAAATGATTCAGGGAATCCTAATAGCAATTTTTAACTGATTGATTCACGATGTTTGGGTGGCTGATATCGAAATTGTGTAAAAACAAAGAAAGCTCTCTCATAAATATCAGATTTTATGTATTCAGTTTGTGAGTAGATTGCAATTTTGATAAGAACGGAATCGCAATTTTCGCCTGAATCGATGTGCATCCAAAATTTCGTCAGCGAATCAGTCAGTCTTCTGATATAAAATTTCAATCTATCCCAACTCACAAGAAAACGCAAATATGAAAACATTTTCACATGTTTTCTTCTCAAAAAGATTTCGAGGCTCAAAAAGAAAAGAAAAAAGGAGGGAACGTGAAAGGAAAAAATGCAAAATTTGATCAAGAAGCGTGAATCTTTTTTGATGAAAAGAAGCGCCTCAACAATGGTCACACACGACCGAGGGAAGGGCCGCAAATGGGAAAAGATTTTTAGAATAGAAATTGAAAGATTTGAAATTTTTTTTTGCGAGGTCTATGAGCAACGAAAAGACGAGAAAGATCCACAAATGGGGACGGGCAAATTGCAAATCTCATATTCTGGAATTTGGGGGAAAAGGAGAGGAAAAGATGCAAGAAAAAAGAGAGCCCAAATCAGTGAGCGAAAGCTGGAAATAGCGCGAGGTTTTGGGAATATATTTTCAACGGTATTTTGCAAGAGAAAAGCTGTATAAAGAACTATTTACTTGCCATTTTTCTTATTCTTTGTTTAATTAAAAAGTTTGAGTTTTCTTTCTTCAGGGGAAAAAAGTCTTAAACTTTTTTAAAGTCTTAAACTTAAACGTCTTCTTAAAAAGTATTACTTTAACAACGATTTTTAAAGTTTTGCGTAACACCTTTATTGGGAAAAAATGACCGTAATAGCGAAAATTCTTGTAGGAATAAATTAACGTAAAAGCGTCGAGGGCCGGCTTATATACGGCTCCTTTTAAAGATAGATAGCCATGAAGCGATCAAAACTAGCAAAAACAGGGTGCGTTTATAATTTGTTGACAGAATGTAGATAGGTAACAAGCTAACAGAAAAGTATCAACTCTTATCTTTGAACTTTTTTAATACCGTTTTTTCTCTAATAGTAGTGCACCCTGAGCGTTGCCTAAATTTCTCGCAACCTCGAGAAGCGCTTATCAGAACCTATCGATGTGGGGTCGGAAAATGTAGCTGACGATGAGATCTAGCGGGGGGATTTGAGTGCTGAGCTTCTGTGAAAGCTTGGGAACCGTAAAATAGTTGTCAACTCGGCTCGGCCGGGCGGAGGAGGGAGATTTGCGCTACAATTAGAGAAAATACCTTATTTCTCTAATAGTAGAATACTTTATTCTCTCTAATAGTAGTTTTTCAAGAAATTTTCGAAGTGGCCTCCATCCGCTTTGATACAGGCTTCAATTCGCTTCTTTACAGAATCGACGGTGCAGCGGGGATAATTTGCATCTAAGTCTTTCCAGATTTTGATCAATTCTCGACGTAAATCATGCAAATTGTTGATTTTCCTATTTCTCAATTGTTCTTCCATAAAACGCCAAACCGAAAAGTCTAACGGATTGAGATCCGGGCTGTTTGCAGGCCATTGATCCTTCGTCAAAAAAGAGCCAATTTTGGTTTCGAGAAACGAATTGTTGTTTTGGCTCTGTGAGCCGGCGCCCATATATTCCTCTCGTATAGTAGTGTACCCTGAAGCGTTGCCTAAATTCCTCGAAATCTCGAGAACCGCTTATCAGAACCTATCGATGTGGGGTCGGAAAATGTAGCTGACGATGAGATCTAGTGGGGGATTAAAGTGTTGAGCTTCTGTGAAAGCTTGGGAACTGTTAAATAGTCACCAACTCGGCTCGGCCAGGTGCACTACGATTAGAGAAAAGACGGTAAATCCAAACTAGTAGAGTGAAAACAAAAAGCAACTTTTGCAATTGAAATGAACATTAAAACAAAATCAAATAACAATGGAACAAATAACAATCTAATTACTTTACAATAAGTTATGAAGCGGATAATTCTAATAAAGCCATCATTAAAGTTATTGAGATTTTGCAAGCAATGCTTAGTTACGATTTAAAGAAAAAAAAACAAAAGAAAGAGAACAAAATGTTTGAAGAGGGAAGTGAGTGAGGGAATTATTCATCCCTGTGCAACAACGCGTCACTGAAAGCAAGAGAAAAAGAAAAATTTTGAATGAAAGCTTTGGGAAAAGCGTTGATAATTGTTTATATAAATCTCAATAGGTTAATGAGAAAAAATCTTTAAAAAGTTCGATAAAGAGGCTACAGAAGCTACAAAAGAAGCTACAAAAGAAGCTACACAGAAGCTACAGAAGAAGCTACAGAAACTACAAAAGAAGCTACAGAAGCTACAGAAGCTACAGAAGCTGCAAAAGAAGCTACAGAAGCTACAAAAGGAGCTACAGGAGCTACAAAAGGAGCTACAGAAGCTACAGAAGCTACAGAAGCTGCAAAAGAAGCTACAGAAGCTACAAAAGGAGTTTACAGAAGTTTAACAGAAGCCACCGAAGCTACAGAAGAGGCTAAAGCAAAGTTTCAAAAAGGTATAGGAGATTTGTGAAAATGCTTGAAAATGAGAACTTTTTTCCTTTTTCAAACCCTGCCTCTTTTTTGAGGTCGCGTCCCTTGGGGTTACTTTGTTTAAAACACACTCACTCTGGCACACTCAAAGGGTAGAATTAGGAACTAGAAAGAGAAAGAGCACTAAAAAGAGAAAGAGCACTAGAAAGAGCACAAAGTAACAGTAAAAGTAAGCTAAAATAACATCAAGAAAAATGACTAAATCAGAATTGAATCCAATAAAAAAACCCCAATTGTTAGCAGTTAAATAAAGATTTTCTGAAAAATTGCAAGAATAAATAAAGGCAATATTCATATCGGAAAACGGGCAACGATGGATTTGATTTCCAAAAAATTCAAAAGACTTTTCCTTGGCCTCAGCTTTTTTTTTTGCTTTTCGGCCGCCAAAGCGTAAATCCAAGATGGAGAAAGAAGCAAAAAAGACGAAGAAAAGACGAAGAAAAGGTGAGTCTTTCGGCAGAAAAAGAAGAAAATGAGAAGGGGCTCTTGCCGGATCGGCTTTCATCGCGCGCACCCCCCCACCCCGTCTTTTGGCCAGACACGAGGAATTCCCTTGCTCTCCCCCCCACCGCGAATTCCTTACAACTTCTCACTACCTCTTCCTGCAAATTGTTTAATCTCCAATCGAACAGATCTGCTTTTCTTCAACAAAGTTCAAAGTTCAAAGTGTCACCGGGTTCAAAGTGGAATACCTCTTTTAGTCCTGCATATCTTTCAAGACTATATACAAGTGCTGCCTTATA